CCTTTAACGACTACCCCATCAACCACTATTCGGGCATATCCACCTCGAAGATGGGCAAGCGCCTGAGTGTGCTGATGATCGATGCCGTGAATGCCCGCCACGTGGGCAACTATACTTGCAAGGCCCGGAATCTGTGGGCCTCGGCTGTTTACACAGCGGAGTTGATAGTAAATGGTACTCCTCTCCTCGCGGAGCCAGAGCTTCTGTACAGCACCTGAGTGTCGTTTTGCTTTAGTTAGTTTCATATTTGTGACCCCTGACTCCCCTCTCTTGTTGCATCTCTCCTATAAATACAATCCCCGCTTACACAAATTGCATGTTTGCTTTGGCTTCTGTGTATTGGCTTTTGTAGCGCAGTTTTAAGTCGAGATATTTATATAAATCCCTTATATAAATAGGTAGGCAGTGTTCTCCGGGGAGAACAGAAAAGATCTAAGTTGCCACTTTCTCCTAACTCTTCCTTATCACTCTCTTAAGTACCACCCCACATTAGTCCCTTTGAGTTCGGGGATGAACCAGCTAACTTTGGCGACTCAGTGACCGTTCAGTGCACCATTTCCAAGGGGGATCAGCCAGTGGACATAACCTGGCTATTTAATGACTATCCCATCAACGAGTACCATGGTGTCACTACATCAAAGATTGGAAAAAAGGTCAATGTCCTGACCATTGATTCGGTGAACGGCAACAATGCCGGCAACTACACATGCCGGGCAAGGAACAAGGCCCAAATGGTGGAGTACTCAGCAGCTCTGATTGTCAACGGTGGGACAGTGATCCTCTAAACATACCCTTACAGTAGTTAGATCATCATCCATGTATGATTTAATTATTATTTGTTCGTTTGTTATTTGTTGAATTGATTGTTTGCGTTTGTTATTTCCGCAAGTCTTGCCCCAAATCACTCCCTTTGCCACCGGCGCCCAGCCCACCCATTTGGGCCAGTACATAACCTACCAGTGCACCCTGACGGAGGGTGATCTACCCCTGAACATCCGCTGGACTTTCAATAACCAGCCGCTCTTTAACGACGACGACCAGGACATTCTCATAGCAAAGATGGGTCGGCGGAGTAGTGTTCTGACCATTGAGAGCGTGGCCGCCCGACATGCGGGCAACTACAGTTGCCATGGGGAAAACAGCGCCGGGAGAGCGTCCTACAGCACCCAGCTTCGAGTCATAGGTTCTTACCTGGCTTAGTCTAAGACGGGACATTCCCACATCCACTGATTATTGTTTAATTTCGTGCACCTTTTGTTCTACCATTTACCATTCCCATCACCGAACACACACATCCATCCAGTTCTGCCGCGCATCATACCCTTCGCCTTCGAAGAGGGTCCTGCCCAGGTGGGTCAGTACCTGACGCTTCACTGCTCGGTGCCTGGAGGGGATCTGCCCCTGCAAATCGACTGGACGCTGGATGGTCAGGAGATCTCGGAGGACCTGGGCATCACTACGGCCCGCGTGGGTCGCCGTGGAAGTGTGCTGACCATTGAGGCCGTTGAGGCCACCCATGCGGGAAATTTCACCTGCCACGCCCGCAATTCGGCGGGCCATCAGCACTTCACGACGCCGCTGAACGTCTACGGTTAGGATTGTCCCGGAAGCGGGTCGTTCGCGTAGTTCTTTGTGGTCGCCTACTAACCCCAGCGTCTGCAACAATGTCGCTGCATGACCTTCTGTACTTCTATGTCTCTGCTGCTGTCCTGAATCTTCCATCTCTGTCTGTCTGTCGACCTAATTGGACCTTTCACCTTCTCTTAGTATGGCCTGACGCACACCCACTCACAAATGCTTGCATGTACGACACTCGGACGCCACTGAACTGAACTGTACTGATTGAGGGTCCTTTATCAGAGTTGTCTTTCGTCATCAGAGAGATATTTAGAGTCTTCCCCTTAAGAGGGATACCACCTCGCTAGCTGAACTCAAGCTATAGAATCTCCCAATGAAGATCATTATGTTTTAAGTTTAATTTTTATTTTTACTTTTATTGAAATCCGACTGAAGTGCCTCCAAAGCTGGCCCCTTTGCCCAACAATTCGCCCCTGTACGTGGGCGACTACTACCAACTGACCTGTGCCGTGGTGCACGGCGACGCGCCCTTCAACATCACCTGGTACTACAACGGCGAGCCAGCCGGAGACCTGCCGGGTGTGACCATCCTGATGCACGGCCGGCGCAGCAGCTCGCTGAACATCGAGAGCGTGGGCGGTGACCATGCGGGCACCTACTCCTGCAAGGGCGCCAACAGGGCGGGTGAAACAACGGCAGAGACCCACCTGAGTATCAAGGGTTTGTTCGACATATTCCTAAGAAATCTTTTGCCGGAGGTGGCTCTTAGATGTAGACTGACACCATATAGAAAGAAGCTTCTAGATCGATCGCTTAGGCCACCCCAGCAATCTGTAAATTCCCACTCTCTGTCTTGTCCTTGTGTCTGGTGTTGGAACTGTATAAGCACGAACTTGTATTATAAAACACATCTGGGGGCATCCCTTACTCCCTGCTGTATAGTGTGTTTATTCATTGCACGGCTTTTCGTCACCCAATCTCAGAACTGCCCCAGATCGAGCAGTTTCACTTCAACGCCAACGGGGTCAACGGAGGCCAGGCCGTTCGGGTCATGTGCATGGTCACCTCCGGCGACCTGCCCATCGACATCTACTGGCTGAAGGATGGCCAGCCGCTACTGCGTTCCATCTACCACAAGATCGACGAGTATACCCTCATCCTGTCGCTGCGTCAGAGCACGATCGGCGATTCCGGCAACTACACGTGTGTGGCCAGCAATGCGGCTGGTTTAGCAAGTCGCTCGTCCACCCTTAAAGTGAAGGGTATTATCTGCACAGCATACCTGGCTTATACCCTGTGTGTTTTCCTTTTGGTTTATATAATGCTTTCGTTCCTAGATTCCCACCTACAATTCAGAAATGTTAGCAGAAGGTACATATAAAAAGTTAGGTTACTAAGCAAGAAAATAACAAAGAACAGAAGAGGACATTCAAGAAAGGCTTACAATATAAAACAATCTCTTAATCCAGTCTGTTACAAGGTCTTTACCTTGTGAACTAAAATTACAAATGGTAACCCTTATTAGCCTCAGAGATTGGGGCCTTCAATTGGAACTTTACCTACTTCTTGCCAATAGGGGGGAATACATATTGAACAAAATAAAGAATTCTAAGGATATTTTAGATATCACTTTATCGATTAGTATATTACGTATAGTATTATTTCAAGAAGAAATTGATTTTACTTAGAATGTCAATATAACAACCTTCCTTAACACTTTCCCCTCTCAAAAAGAACCTCCGGTGCTCGCTCCGCTCCTCCTGTCCGCTTCCGTTTGTGACGTAGGTGACTATGTGCAGCTCACCTGTATTGCTAGCCGCGGGGCCACGCCCATCCAGTTCGAGTGGTGGCTTGGGGGGCGGCAGGTGCACGATGATGGCGATGATGACGTCACACAGGCTACAGTGGGCGAGCACACGAGCCTGCTGCTTATACAGCGGGTGGGGGAGGGACAGGCGGGAGACTACAGTTGCCGGGCGAGCAACCAGGTGGGCGTAGCAGAGCGCCGAGCCAGGCTGACTGTGAATGGTAATTGCAGCTGTTGGGAAATTCCCGCAGCTTCACCTCTCTCTTCCACTCTCGTTTCCTCCGGCAGCAGCCAGTCCAGTTTTCTCGACTTCTTTGACTCTTTTGATACTCCGCTCCATAGGCCAAACGAGATCGAATGTGGCCGTTTTTGAACTTGGTTTTTACTCGTGTCTCCACTGTATAAATGCGCACTGAACTCTGAAAGTAAACCCCCCGCCGACACAGGGGAAAAGTCGGTTGAGATCGAACCTAGGTCCCACTGTACAGTCCGTGTTCAACTTATTCGTAACCAAACAGCTCAGATCTGACTCTGCACACATTTACGCACAGCCACACCCGCACACTCAGCACACTACCAAGCACTGTCCCCGAAAGGATTTCCGGGATATGACTCACAGCCCGAATAGTAGTTCAACTCCTGGCGATGCCTTGGTGTTTTGTACATTGCATACTCCTAGTTTCCTAGTCACACAGGCTCATGCTCCAACACCGAATAAACCAGCCAACAACAACAGCAAGATCTATAACCATAATCGCTTTTCACTGTCTACTTAACCGAAACTAAACTTAAACGTAACTAAGGAACTCAGTCCTTTCCCAACGAGACTGAGTGTTTGCGCTTCTATAAACCGCGATCAGTCTAGCCCATCCATCCTGAGAACTTCCACGAATCCCCTTCCAAATCCCCTTTAATTAACTTTCATTTCATTAATCTTTATTTACTTAGATCGTAAGACACAAAACTAAAGACAATATCAATAAATAAGATAAAATATTTTATATATACGGCGCACTATGCATCTTATTCATTTATATTGTCTTTGTCAAAACAAAGTGTGTTTGCCGAATAAATACAATGTTCATGCGAGTGACCGCTGTCAAACAGTACTTTGTTTTGCACTAATTGCATGCATCTTTACCATTTAGTTTGTTCTAATTGAGTTTCATTAAGATCCACCTTTCATTTGTCCTTTTAACATTTTGGTTATTTGTGCTAAAACTTTCTTTGTAGTTTGGTATTTTAAGTTTAACTTAAATGTAAGAGAGTGCATGGAAATATTATTGTGAGCCGCAGTAAATGACCTGCCGTCAAAAAATGCATGTTCAGTGCAATTTCAAAAATATTTCCTGACACTCGAAGCAAAATGAAGTGATAACTTGTTAATAATAATAATTAAAATTAATTTTCAATCGATTAAAACCCATTTAAGATTCTGTTAACGAATATCTTACAAAACCAAACTTCACTTTGCTTCATTCAAGTCCGTCCTTCCGCTTACTATGAAAATCTCTACCATATTGCATGCATATAAAAGATATTGCTAAGAAACCTTGCCAGCTTCACTAACTTATTATCTTATCTCACCTGCCACATCGACACACAACAACAACAGTACCACCAAGATGGATCCTCGAGCCCACCGACAAAGCCTTCGCCCAGGGTTCCGATGCCAAGGTTGAGTGCAAAGCTGATGGTTTCCCCAAGCCTCAGGTCACATGGAAGAAAGCAGTTGGTAAGAAGAGACTCTTTTATATGAGCTCTTGGAAAACAAATATTAATATCAATTCTTTCCCAGGTGATACCCCTGGAGAGTACAAGGATCTGAAGAAGAGCGACAACATTCGCGTCGAGGAGGGCACTTTGCACATTGACAACATCCAGAAGACCAATGAGGGCTACTATCTGTGCGAGGCAATCAATGGCATCGGCTCCGGACTGTCGGCAGTAATTATGATCAGCGTCCAGGCCCCACCAGAGTTCACCGAGAAGCTACGCAACCAAACCGCCCGACGAGGAGAACCTGCAGTGCTGCAGTGCGAGGCGAAGGGCGAGAAGCCCATTGGCATTTTATGGAACATGAACAACATGCGCCTGGACCCCAAGAATGACAACCGATACACCATTCGTGAGGAGATCCTCTCCACTGGAGTTATGTCTAGTCTGTCCATTAAGCGCACTGAAAGATCCGATTCCGCTCTGTTCACCTGTGTGGCCACCAATGCCTTTGGTTCCGACGATGCCAGCATAAATATGATTGTCCAGGAAGTGCCCGAGATGCCCTACGCCCTGAAGGTCCTCGACAAGTCCGGACGCTCTGTGCAGCTCAGTTGGGCCCAGCCCTACGATGGCAACTCTCCCCTGGACCGCTACATCATCGAGTTCAAGCGATCCCGCGCCTCCTGGACCGAAATCGACCGCGTCATCGTGCCTGGACACACTACCGAAGCTCAAGTTCAGAAGCTCAGCCCTGCCACCACCTACAACATTCGCATTGTGGCCGAGAACGCCATCGGCACCTCGCAGTCCTCAGAAGCGGTCACCATCATCACAGCCGAAGAAGCGCCCTCTGGCAAACCACAGAACATCAAGGTGGAGCCCGTGAACCAGACCACCATGCGCGTCACCTGGAAGCCTCCAGCACGCACCGAATGGAACGGCGAGATTCTGGGCTACTACGTCGGCTACAAGCTCTCCAACACCAACTCTTCGTACGTCTTTGAAACCATTAACTTTATCACCGAGGAGGGCAAGGAGCACAACTTGGAGCTGCAGAACCTGCGAGTCTATACCCAGTACTCGGTTGTGATCCAAGCCTTCAACAAGATCGGAGCCGGACCTCTGAGCGAGGAAGAGAAGCAGTTTACCGCCGAAGGAACACCCAGCCAACCGCCCAGCGACACTGCCTGCACCACTCTGACCTCCCAGACCATTCGAGTCAGCTGGGTGAGCCCGCCCCTGGAGTCTGCCAATGGAGTGATTAAGACCTACAAGGTTGTCTATGCCCCCAGCGACGAGTGGTATGGTAAGTATATCAGAATATTAAAAGAATGCCTACAAGTCCTTACAATCTGATACCTTTATTTCCTTTCTTTAGACGAGACCAAGCGCCACTACAAAAAGACTGCCTCCTCCGACACCGTTCTTCATGGCCTGAAGAAGTACACCAACTACACAATGCAAGTGCTGGCCACCACAGCCGGAGGCGATGGAGTCCGCAGCGTTCCCATTCACTGCCAAACTGAACCCGATGGTAAGTCAAATAATGCTAATGATACAACATTTATTTACCAATCGCTTTCCTTTTACAGTTCCCGAAGCACCCACCGATGTCAAGGCTCTGGTAATGGGCAATGCCGCCATCCTGGTCTCCTGGAGGCCGCCAGCACAGCCCAACGGTATCATCACCCAGTACACAGTATACTCAAAGGCCGAGGGAGCCGAGACCGAGACCAAGACCCAAAAGGTGCCACACTATCAGATGAGCTTCGAGGCCACCGAACTGGAGAAGAACAAGCCTTACGAATTCTGGGTGACTGCCAGCACCACCATCGGCGAGGGACAGCAGTCCAAGAGTATTGTGGCCATGCCCAGTGACCAGGTTCCCGCCAAGATTGCCTCCTTTGACGACACCTTCACTGCCACCTTCAAGGAGGACGCCAAGATGCCTTGCCTGGCCGTTGGAGCTCCACAGCCGGAAATAACCTGGAAGATCAAGGGCGTGGAGTTCAGTGCCAACGATCGCATGCGTGTCCTTCCTGATGGATCTCTGCTAATCAAGTCGGTGAATCGCCAGGACGCCGGTGACTATTCCTGCCACGCTGAGAACTCAATAGCCAAGGACTCGATCACACACAAACTTATTGTGCTGGCTCCGCCCCAGTCACCACACGTCACACTCTCGGCCACCACCACCGATGCTCTGACCGTTAAGCTGAAGCCCCATGAAGGAGACACTGCTCCTCTGCACGGATACACTCTGCACTACAAGCCAGGTGAGAGAATCCCAGCAAGGAACAAGGATTTCTATATCCTAATCTTCAAATCTTATTACAGAATTTGGAGAATGGGAAACGGCCGAGGTATCCGTTGACTCGCAGAAGCACAACATTGAGGGTCTGCTGTGCGGTTCCCGCTATCAAGTTTATGCCACAGGATTCAACAAGTTAGTCTCGCCACACCCTTAAATCCCTCTGATTCCAGCTTATAATTTTGCACTCTTTTAGCATTGGCGCCGGCGAAGCTTCTGATATTCTGAACACCCGCACCAAGGGCCAGAAGCCCAAGCTCCCTGAAAAGCCACGTTTCATCGAGGTCTCCTCCAACTCCGTGTCGCTGCACTTTAAGGCCTGGAAAGATGGCGGATGCCCCATGTCCCACTTTGTGGTAGAGAGCAAGAAACGGTAGATCTCTGACCCTGTAACCCATGCTCCTTGACTGACTTTGTTCGTCTTCTCCTAGTGACCAAATCGAGTGGAACCAGATCTCCAACAACGTGAAGCCCGACAACAACTATGTGGTCTTGGATTTGGAACCCGCCACCTGGTACAATCTTCGAATCACCGCTCACAACTCGGCTGGCTTTACTGTAGCCGAATACGACTTTGCCACACTAACCGTCACCGGAGGTATTTATGATCTGTTCTCCGATTCCCACACGAATCCCGCATTGCTTTTGTACATAGAGTACTCTACGTTGACAGTGTTGGGCTCTGATCCTGGTAATACCGCTCCAAGTAGCACCCGGAAACCCCAGACAAGGGCCGGGCTTGTCAGTTGGAGCGGTGTGGGGATTGGGGTCCTGAGGCACTGTCCATATACAAATAACAAGATGAGAAGCACCCAGCTGTATACTGTTGTACACATCAATTTCCTGAGTTCATTTTGCCTTTTATCAATCACTGAACAAAATTTTACAAAAAACCATGAGCAAATTTTTCATTTGATTTTCAATGACAAATTCGCACAGCCTTTAGTTGTTATTTTAGTTATCCACACAAAAAGCTTGTCGAAATAGTCGCCTAAGTTCAATTATGATTTATTTAATTATTGTAAAAAGCTTTTGATTTTCATTTCGATTATTCAACTGCCAGAACTGTGAACGCAGAAGCACCCGAATAGTGTAAAATAGTGATCATTTTCTTTACGTAAATGCAATTTGTTTCCTTCCGTTTTTACCAAACATTCCCAAAAAAGAGCTGAAGCAACGTATATATAGTAAATATGTACATAACTGAATAGTTTGTCAACTCACCAACCGCAACGATTTTAAATTTATTTTATTTATTTTTTTACTAGACCCAAGCATTTGTAGTGCTTTAGATCACAGTATGAACACAGCCAATATAATAATAAGAAGCGTAACGCCTCTCTCGAGTGCTCGTTGCGCATCTTACTGTTTTATATGTTTTAGTATTAATATGTATATTTTTGTGTATTACTTTCATTGACCTTTGTTTTCTGCATTTCTGTGCCCAGTTTGTGAGAGAGACTATGTACAAAATACATCCGATATGGAAAAAAGAGGAAAAGCTGCCTGTCCTCATTACGTATACGCAATAAATGTTGTTGTACCTGCCGATCCATTCCCCAATCTATAGATTGTAAAGAACTCTACTAGATGTATCCCCCAGTACAACTTTCAGTCACTAAGGACTGATTCCAGTCCCTCTAAAGGCTTTGAGGTTCGGGTCCCACTCGGTGCACAACTGGTCACAGAATCGATTCAAAAACACCCGTTAAGGATTTAGTTATGATTTAGCGAATTTACTTTGATTTTGATTTGATTACAAATAGCAAAATGCTCATCTAAAAAGACAAATGGGAAACTCAGTCCAGAGAATCGAGCAGAGTCACCACAACATATCGCAAAGACAAGCACAACAACCAAAGATACTTCATCCATTACCTCCGGCAGTCCGGGTCCGGGCCAGAGAGTCTGATCTGAGAGAGTTGACTTCCTAAAACCTATATATACCTATGGATCGTCCTATACTAATCACACCAGTCACACGCAGACATTTTGATTTTGGGTTTTTGCCATTTGCCATTTCGATTCGTTTTAGTTATAGTTATGTCAAGTTATAGTTGAGTTCCGCCTAAGTTAGTTGGTTTATTTCGAGGAGAGTTCTCTCGTTCTTGGAATGTTGTTCAATGCCGCCACTTTTTGTGCGGTTCTAGTGTTTTAACATACATACATCATACTACTTTTTATCTAGCTCTAAGCGGATTACAAAACAAATTGCATTTTAACGTATTTAAAATAACTCTTTTTATACAATTACGAATTTTTCAAATAGTTTAAATAGTTCTCATACTTAATCACAGTTTGATGCGTGCTTCAAGTTCTGCGCAATGTAAAATAATCGAAAATTATATGAAACGTACAACTAATTTATACTTATGCTCTGCTGCGACAAATATCATCGGGCAGTTGACCTTTGAGCTCTTTCACCTGCCATAGTCTGTATTTGTATATGTGTGTGTTGAGTCTATGTGTCTGGTACAAAAGCAGAGGTCAAAGGGCACAACTGATGTTTATCTCTCTCTCTCTCTCTCTCTCTCTCTATCTCTCTCTGTGTGTCTCTGTCCTGTATTTGTTTCACTGACCCGCAAAAAACCCACATCCTTTGGTTGTTGTTGTATTTGTTGTTGCAGGCACTATCGCACCCTCGCGAGATTTACCCGAATTAAGCGCCGAGGACACGATCCGCATTATCCTCTCGAACCTAAATTTAGTTGTGCCCGTCGTGGCGGCTCTGCTCGTCATAATCATAGCGATAATTGTTATTTGTATACTGCGTAGCAAGGGCAATCACCACAAAGGTATCTATACTGATCACTAATTAAGAAATGTGTTCTTTTTTCGGTTTCTCTCTATTTCTCTCTAAAAAACACACACACCCACCCCTGACACACACACCTGACACCACAACACTTGCGCTTTTGCCATGAACTATTTGCTCGAACTGCCTGAATCGCATCCACTTGTTGTTGTTGTTATCCAATGACCCCATCCCCCCTTACGGTTGCATGTGCGAATATGGTTTGTATGACCCGGTGTGACCCGAAAGGAACCATTGCGCCCCTGGACGATGGCACGGGGCACGGGAACGTGCATACCCGAATCCGCCTGCCCGCCTGGATGCCCGAGTGGCTCGACCTGAACTTCATGGTGCCGCTGATAGCCACCGTTGTGGTGGTGGCGGTGGGCATCTGCGTGGTGTGCGTGGCGCTGTCCCGGAGACGAGCGGACGACATGCGCGGCGGCCAAAAGGATGTGTACTGTAGGTTCTCCCCTTAGGGGATTCCCCCTGGCAGCGCAAAGTGTCCCCTATGCATCTTAATCTTAATAATCCACATGACGTTGACCTCCGAGCTCAATGTCTTATTTCTGTTTTATTTATTTGTTGGCTAAATGTTGGTTGTAAGAATAATTGAAATGATAGCTTATATATTTTGAGTTACTTCTTATTCGGTTCTTTAAAGTTTTTACTCAATTTAAAAAAAAAAAGAAAATACTATTTTTAAAGAAAAATATGCTGTTAATAAGACTTTTGAATGAAAAGATGCGCTTACAATTAGGAGAGAAATATAAATTTAAAAACCTGTAAAAACTTTCCATGTGGCTTTTGAAATTTGAAAAGATCCAAATGGAAAAATGACAAAAAAGATTTAAAGATTACACGGTCTTCCGTATAAAACAATCGAAACTTACTGAGCTAGATTAATGAAGTTATAACTCTGCGTCATATATATATGATTATTTTTGAATGCCAATAGCTATTTTTTACCTTCATTTATCAGGTTTGTTATTGTTTTAATAAGAATATTTTACCAACAATTTAGCCAATAAACCGATAAGTTATGCCGTCACTCTTAAAAAATCAAAATATAACTAAACAAATAAGTATCCTAAGGAATGTCAATGTGTAGTTCGGCTTTGCATGTTTCATTACAATTTTTAGACATTTATACAAGCTACACTCACAGAAATAAACCAAAAGTTTGCACTCCAAAAATATACCAACAGAAACTCTGAAACTACTAAGAAAATATACCAAACAATCAGTAAATATCATATTTATATATATAATATATTCAATTAGTGTCCATATCTGTGTGCTCATATCAATATCATCTTCGATATATCACCGTCATTGAAACAATTGGATAATCAATTAATGACTTTAAAGGAGCTGAACATAAATGGTCGGACAGCATCTGAAAATCAATTTACAAAGCTATAGTAAATCGAGTTGTAAGTTGTTGTTGGGCTTTTAGAGTTCAGTATTTATATATAACATATTCAGTATTAGTTTAACCACAGTAAAAGATATATCTATGCTAGCCCCGTTGTTGTACATACGTTTTGCTTACGACCTAAGCAACTTTCACAATCCAACCGACTTCTCCAACTATCTAACTCTATCTGTATCTATATATTCACAACCATATCCCCCACAAAACAAGACAATTCAAATCTATCGTATTCGTTTTTGAGTTCTGAATACTTTCCGTACTTTCCCCTTTTATGAAAAACAAAACTGAGATGCTTTTTGGAATCACCATCGAGATCTTTGATCGATGATAAACGTAAAGTCGAGTTAAATCCAAAATTAAGTTCATCGCTCATTTCATGTCATTGCTAATCGAATCGTAATCGTAATTGTTGACCAGTTGGTATATTTTAAAATCGAAAACCAAAAACCGAAACACTTCACGTAACATCTTTTGGAATCCTTTTTCGCAATCGTAACTTGTATTTTTGAGCTACTAATTAGCACATTTAGTGTGTTGACATGCCGCACCAAAAACCAAAACAAAAAAAACGAAACCGAATCCTTAAAAGTAATTTGTCAAATCCAATATCGAGTGACGGAACAAGTCGAGATCGAAAACAGAAGTAATGTATGCGAGCAGCGACTGATGACGGAAAAGCATCTTCAGTGTTTCAATATTGAGTTGGCGATATCATATATTAATTCTAGACGATGTAGTTTACAATCAGACAATGGGACCCGGCGCCACCCTGGACAAGCGTCGCCCGGACCTGCGTGACGAGCTCGGCTACATCGCTCCGCCCAACAGGAAGCTGCCCCCGGTGCCCGGCTCCAACTACAACACCTGCGACAGGATTAAGCGAGGTACAGTCATAAGTAAGCATCTAAGTTTCCAATGCAACATTTATTAACGCCTCCCGGCCACGTCCGCGGCTCTAAGGGGTCCTTTTCCCCAGATCCTTGGGTCGTGGCCTGGGGCTTAGTTCTTTCTTCCATTTACTTTGCGAACGAAAAAAAAAAAACCAAACGAAAAGTATTTTGCGTTGCCTTTGCATACACAGAGACACACCACACACCCGAGCTAAGCTTTTCCGGAACCGAAAAATTCTTAGTGTTGCTTTTTCAAGCCGCTTCCTTTTGAGTTTCTCCGAATTCCCAAAAATTTGCCCCGGCATGCAAAGAACAAGGAAGAACCCGTTCCTAAATGTTGTTGTAAATTTAGAAATGTTTTTATTTAAGCTTTGGGACTTTTGTCCCGTCTTTAATTGCCATTGAACTTATCGTTTAAACCTCTTTCCCCACGTCCAAATCCCGAACCCTTCGGTTGCTTCGATTCGTTTATGATTTCCATTGACCTAACTTTGATGTTGTACGAAATTGGAAATTGAAAAATACCACACTCGAAACGAAACACCATCCACCACACACCTCGACCCACATGAACACTCGAACCCCACACACGAATCGACCAGGTCGCGGTGGCCTGCGCTCGAACCACTCCACCTGGGATCCCCGCCGCAATCCCAACCTGTACGAGGAGCTGAAGGCACCGCCAGTGCCCATGCACGGCAACCACTACAGTCACGCCCACGGCAACGCTGAGTGCCACTACAGGCATCCAGGTAGGAGGATCCATGGAGTGGAACAGCGAAGAGGAGCAGCCGCTGTACTCCAAGATTTTTGTTTCTTATTCACCCGAAAGTGTTCCCACTAACCCCGCCCTACCATGGAAGCCGTTGGGTCGATTTGTGGGATAATATATATGTTAGTTTAAAAATTAAACAAACTTACTTTCTTTTTGGACTTGAATTTCTTGAATTTAAATGCATAAGCGTTACGCATCTTATCAATATTTACAGCTTTTAGTCTTCTTTAATCTCTCATCTAATGAAAACATTAACCTAGAGCTTAATGTTGATTCCTAGTTCCTATCAAAATTCTATATTATATACCCACAAATCGACCTCTTCCCGTATTAACCTACTTTTAGTTCATATTTCCGCACTAACATAAAGTCCAAGTCCTGGTCGCATTCAGTTAACTCAAGCTAACCAATTAGTAAGTAATGGGTAAGGATAACAGGTATCATCGATCCATACTAAACACACTAAAACCATGCCACTGAACAACTGTACAAGTCAGAGTAAAGACACATGCTAATCGAGTTCTTTTTTCGCAAATGCAAGGCATGGAAGATGAAATCTGCCCCTATGCAACGTTCCATCTGCTCGGATTCCGCGAGGAAATGGATCCCACAAAGGCCATGAACTTCCAGACCTTCCCGCACCAAAACGGACACGCTGGTCCCGTTCCCGGCCATGCTGGCACCATGCTCCCGCCCGGACACCCCGGCCATGTGCACTCCCGCTCCGGATCACAGTCAATGCCGCGGGCCAATCGTTACCAGCGCAAGAACAGCCAGGGTGGACAGTCCTCCATCTATACACCAGCCCCCGAGTACGACGATCCCGCCAATTGTGCCGAAGAGGATCAATACGTGAGTATTTGAGTATGATTAGAGATCGGTATAGATCTGATTGACATTTCCACCCTCTAGCGCCGATACACCCGCGTCAACTCCCAGGGCGGCAGCCTTTACTCCGGACCCGGTCCGGAATACGATGATCCGCCAACTGTGCCCCAGAGGAGGATCAGTACGGATCTCAATATGGAGGTCCCTATGGACAGCCCTACGACCACTATGGCTCACGCGGATCTATGGGCCGACGCAGCATTGGTAAGTGAAAGCTTATAATATGCCTAAAGTTATACGATTTAAGATCTGAATCATTTGTGATTATTTTTATGATCTATAGGATCTGCTCGGAACCCTGGCAATGGCTCCCCGGAGCCACCACCACCGCCGCCACGGAACCATGACATGAGCAACTCCTCATTCAACGACTCCAAGGAGAGTAACGAGATCTCAGAGGCAGAGTGCGATCGCGATCACGGACCACGCGGTAACTACGGAGGTGAGTTTCGGGTTTGACTTTGGCCAGATTAAGTCTGTATAATTATATCTAACGTTCGCTGTGATACATTCGAGAGATTGTCATAATTTTAATATCAAAAACTCGCCATCTTTTTTCAATTTCATCTTTTTGAAATTTTTGTGTAAAATTAATCAGAAGACTCCAATGAGGGTGAGTGATCCAAGCCTGCGAAGTTGAGTTGAGTTAGTTAGTGTGATTATCACGATCATCATTCGAAAGCCGATCACCGCTCATACTTCGATTTCTCATGAGTCCCTCCTCTAATTCACCTTCAACCCCAATTTATTCACAAGAGCTCTCCAGCGATCATTGAATTTGAGTCATGACCATCTTACAGAAAGAGTTTTTTGTTGTCTTGATCATCCATAAATATTCATGCTGTGTTTTGCTAAGCAATTTTTGAAAAATACATCACCGTTTTACCGTACATTTACGTTTACATTTACAATTACAATTACAGCTAATTTATTTTATGATTATTTTGGTTTTGGTTAACCGTTTTTATGTATATTTTGTACATTTAAGATCCGATTTAATTGCACATTTTTCCATTTCATTTCACTTCATGGAGCACACACCGTTTGTACCTAAATGTTTTCTATGTTTGTATCTAACGAGGGGAAAATAAAGTGACTAGAAATCTGCATGTCCCGACCTCTTAGAGGACCATTTAAGTTCTATAGACCAGGGGGATCCGCACTCATTTCAAAGCAAAAGTTTCCTGCACGAAGTAAATTCCAGATTGGAAGCCGAACTCATCATTTTGTACTACTAAGCAAATGTTTTTATTTTGATTTTACATTGCTCATTTTTCTTTCTACTTTCTTTTATGGACTTTTATGATTAAATTTGTATAATACCCTACTCTATCGGTTCGGGCCACACACAACCAAATTTCTTTTGCAAATATTTTGAAATCCCAAATGCTGAACTCGCAGCAGTGAAGCGATCCCCACAACCGAAAGATCAGCGCACCACCGAAGAGATGCGTAAACTGATTGAAAGGTAAGATCAAAGGCAGAAACTTGCCCCTAAAATAATCACAAATCGATTGCACAGATTCTGATGCAGTTCCCCCCACTAATCGCAATCATTAATCTCTCCTCTTGTTCATTTGTTTAAAATCGTATTTGTGAATGGTATTCTGATCGCTGACACTAGTCGTCGACAGTTGTAAGTTCCAAACTAACCCCAACTAAATGTGACTAATCACGAATGCCTTGCATGCCGACACATCCACCAATTGTATATATACTATATAACCCTCTATATCCTTAACTTGATTTTTGTGTGTATTCTAATTTATTTTGGTTTGGTCTTTGATTTTGTTTTGGTTTTGATTTTGGTTTGACAGCAAATCACAGTTGAATGTTTTGAAATACCTTTTGACATACTAAGCAGATGCCACACCATATGTATCTGTCGTTCACAAATTAATCAAGTGTTTCCATAAATACTCGTATTAACTGTTTATTGCAGCTTTGCGCTTGGCCTCAGCTTGCAAAAAAATATATGTATAAGAAAATATAAACAAAACCCGAAGTAAACTATGTAAAACCATGAACAGAACATAAAGACACGGCCACCAGGGCGAGATTGGAGTCAAGAAAACCATCGGAGGGTCCAATCTCGCCTTTTTGCAATGCTTTGGTTGCAGCCTTAATACATTCACTATATATTAATCCACCTTCAAGTGCCTTAACTAATGCTTTCCATCTTCTTGCCACCAGAAACGAAGCCGGCCCAAAACAACTCCAACTCCAACAAACAAATGGCGCAGGATTCACAGCCTACGATACTATGGCAGTGTAATTTGTAAGCCCCTCCAGCATCCGCCGGGCGAGGCAGCTTAGCTTAGTGTTCCAAGAGCATGGGGTGCGTGGGAGTTGAATGACACTCAGACACAGGTACACACAGGTACACACTCAGACAGATCATCAGGACACACACACAGTACACACGGAGGACGGAGCGAATAGCGCCCATATAGCGCATATACACATACGATTATCCAACTACTTCAAGTAATTATTACGTAAAGAATGCCACTTTGAAAGCATATTTACACGGTCTATGCAAGCAGCAAACCAAACATACATACAATATACTATATAATTGCATTCAGATATGAATACCTACTATATAAGTGTGTACTAAGGGAAATTATTGAAAGCTATACGAGAAATTAAACCGACTTACGGCGCGAGAAAAAGTGAAGGAAAAATCGTAAATGAAAACAGAAATCAGAACAAAAAACATACTTATATATATATAATATATTCAACTACGAATATTCGAAACTAATTTTTAATAATGTATTTTAGTTTTAAGAGATACCTACCAAAATATCAGAGGAGACAGCAACTATGTATGGAGTACTCTTTGTGTGTAAAGAGAGAAGGTCGATTTCGAACTCTGTTTGTGTAAACTTTTTGCCATCTATGCCAGGAGCAGATAACTCATCCTTTGCCTAGACTAAGTCGGAGTCATAATATTAACTCGTCTAATTGATATATACTATATATATTTAGTCAAATACGCATTGTATAATTTCTACCCGTTTGGGTGGACAGCGCACATTTGACGTTTCGTTTGCGTTTTGCGTTGATTTTTGTGATGATTTGTAATTTGTAGAATTGTGTGAGTCATATTTGTATTCGTCTTATTCTATTCTATTCTGCAAACACACACCATGGTGTTTTATTTTAATTTTACTTTAATTTTTAATTCGAAAATGCGCTTCCACGAGATCGAACCGAGAGAACTGTTCAAAGCACAAATCGCAGCCACATTTAAATGTATTATACAAGATCCCCAGGACATCCAAAGGCCACACAATACACAGTTGCACAATGTTGTTTTTAGAGACCAATTCTGATATTGGAACATGAGTTATACGCATTTGAAGCTTTAAGAGAACTTGAAATTTGACTTTGTTTATTTCATATTCATTTGACCTACCTTAAGTTTGTTAGTTTGTAAGTTGCTAAATATATGATTTTGATTTTATTTAATCATTTTTGTTATTATTTACGTTATTATTTGTTTGGGGTTCCTTCCATTCGCCCTTAAAATCCGTGGAGATACCACCACTAACACTACAAAGACTGACTAATGCAAAATGAAAACGAAATCGAAACCGGAACCGGAAGCGGAAACGGACAGTGGGAGTAATGATGCTCAAGGTGAAGAGATATAGCTAGGCATAATGCTTCAGGCACTGCCATCGGAGATCGGAATCATATTTTGATCCCTCACATCCTTGGGCACATCATGAATTGCATTTAACCAACGGGGAGCGGAGACACGTTTTAGACTTCTTTCTTAGACTTATGATTTGATTTTGATATGTTTCGGTTCCCACTTAAGCTATCGAAGCTCGTACTCACTCTTATATAGCCTATACCAATTTTATAGATATATCGCATATATGAATGTAGTGTTGTGAGAAAACTAAAATTGCTTACCTACATATATGAGTGTACGACAAATTTTCACGGCAAACGAACTACAAATATTAAGTAGAGATTAGTAACGGAAAATGGCATTTAATCAATAAAAAAGGAAGTAAATCACTTACAAATTTTCAAGTAATTCAAATAGCAAGCAATAATCTAAAGTCAAGACGTTGGAAGCAAGCAAGATTTTAATTACTCTCATATTAATTAGAAACTTTTCGGCAAATCAAAATCAAAAAACAAATACACTTTTGGCATGAACACAAAATGAAGAATCGAATAAATACACAAGCGGTTTGAAATATAAAAACAAAAAAAGCTAGGCTAAGTAAAGTAATATTGTATCGACGAACCATCAAACATTTTTCATACATTATATCGTGCATGAATGATCGCTTTTTGTGTTGCTTCACTGTGAAAATACTTGATATTTGATATTTCACTTTATGCATTGATTAAGCCCCGCTACATACTTGTAATTATTTAAGCGATAAGCTTACATGCATATACATACAACATATACAAATAATTTTCTACTTAACTTTACATAAAACGCATTAATCAAAATTTAGCTCGCATCATTAATAAGAAAGCCAGACGGACACACAAGTACATTCAACTTCAACGCACTTCAGGAGGAACCAAGCACTAAGATCAGAAGACACTTACATTTTGTATCCGAAAAAGGGACAAGCAGTTTAAAACGCATTTATACTAATCACTCGCTCCTTCTTAGCAGAACGAATATTATACGAAATTAAGAGAAGAATCAATACCCGCCAGAGGGAAGAAAGAATTCGTAATCATTAAGCGCGACATTATATGGTAAACCCCCAATTGAATACTACAAATATGTGTATTACTAATTACAATTACGAAAGCATACATATATTACCTATATTAAATATTGAATGTATTGAATATTGACTAAAGTCGGCCTCTCCGCGCACCACCATCTCGCCATCATCGCTCCACGCAGGGTCCATCTCGGTGGACACCACCCAAAAGTCGACCACATTGCATTGCATGCGCGACGAGCGAGAGCCAAACTTTGTCAGTTTCCAGTTTCAGTGTCATTAAAGTCAAGCAGAAACTAATTAAAATTAAATAAATGCCAATTTATGTTGGATAAAACCAAAACTACGAGTTTTATTTATATCGTGTAGACTGTCGGGAAGGATTTTTAAATAAGATATTACTGAGGCTGAATGAAAGAATGAATAAATAAAGGTAAAGCTTAAATTTCTCTTTAATTTTATTGGTAATTGGGCTAAGGAGTATATAATCTTACTGAGATTTTGTAACTTACTAAATGCCTAATATTCAGCACATACTTTTGTGCGTTGTTTGGTTTTGCACTGTGTCAAAATAATGTCATTTTCTTAGCTAGTATACAGTAGAAGGGGTTCCCTAAAAGTAAAATATTTTTCCTTTGATACTTTTAAGCTTGAATGTGTTTTTAACAAACTCCAATTGGCAACGTTTTTTAAACTTTTTGAATAATCCTGGATATTAAAATGCTTAGAACAGTCTCCTAGAAAATTAAGGATTTGGAATTTATGATGACTGATAAATCAAGTTCGCTTGAAAAAATATATAAAAGAGAGAATTATACAATAATCTGGAATATATTACATAAAACAATTTAATTTAAGAATTCATAATTTAATAATCCGTATATTTTTGAAAGTCTTTAAATAAGCCTGGTAATTGCAGGAATAGGAATTTATGAAATTTGATAAATCTAGTTCGCTTGACAAAATGTAGAATAGAATAATTTAATTAAAGAATTCATTTAGCCCTTTTGTGAGCTTTACTTTGGAGATGGGTTTTCTCCAAATAAATGAAAATTTTATTATTCTCTATTAAACGGGAAAATAAGAAGAATAAACTCATCCCAAAACACCAATCGCGCTTAACCACTTTCAAATTAACTAAACAAGAAATGATGAGAGATCTGTTAAGCACCAAATTTAACTGCAAATTTAAATCTCAGGGCTACTTTAAGAATTTTTTAATTAATTAATTCATTATTATCAATCCTTTTTGAAATAAGCGTTGTATTTTATCTGAACGAAAAGAAAAAGATATTGCTATTAAGCAACTTATTTTGGGCCAAACGTAAGCTCATTTGATGCTCAAAAAGCAAATGTGACGTGTAGTTAGCTTTTCGAAATGAGCTGAAATTTTTCCCAGGCAAAGAATACTTGACAAGGGCTTCAGCTTCCTCGTAGTTTTAACGCAGAAGCAAATCATGCAGCCACAGACTTCAGTTGTCGAGAGGAAAAACCGGCCCTTTGCGGAAAATTTGAAAAGTAGGACAACAAAGAGCGCGCCTTTCCAAGAGCGTAAATATTTGGCCTTCGGAGGCAGCACTTGGAATTTGCACATCCAGTTAGCACTGGCCAGCTAAGCTCTCTGCAAAGAACAAGTGCTGATGCAAACAGCGGCCAGTTGGCCACGCCAATAGCCCGGCGGCACCTGCAGTTCCAGATTTGCAGAAGTTTCCCAAGTCCACCAAGTCTCTTGGCCATCACCATTATTTGCATACACACGAGTACGCCGATTACCCAATTCAATCAAAGCTATTTCCAACTCACACTCTCCGTGCGGCGGCCTTGCATAATACGATATAATTAATTGTTGCAAAATCCGATGATTTACAACTAAATGTTGCTCATTAAATATAAAGCCGCACAGCCATGCCCACTTTTCGACGACGCCCCGCGAATCCAACTACGTGGATGTGGTCGAGGGAAAACAAAAACAAAAAAGCTGAAAATTATTCACAAACAATTGCGATTGACGCCCCGCACATCCAACAATTGTGCATTGTCTTCGGCGTTGTGACGCGGCTGCATAACAGAAATGGCAGAAATTTCATCATGCAAATGGAAGCGTTTAAACGCTAAACGGCCTGCGAGCTACTGGCTACTGGCTACTGGCTACTGGCTACGAGTGACTGGCTCATGACAAATACTCCCATCAAATATTGATAATTTAGCGTATCAGTCGCAGAACTCCGAGGAAGTCGTAAACTGCAATTGTCTTGGAGCGTGGCAATAAATCTGCCGTGCGAGGGGTGAGCCGCCAAAGAGAGAGGCGGCCGAAGAAAATATGAGTAGAAAATAGCAACAAAATAAAAACATAATGTTTGACAATCAAATCGTTTTGCATATGAATGAATGAAACCCAGGCAGCACGGTCAGTATGGTCGGGATAATGGAGGCGGGGCAGCAGGTGGAACAACTAGGCCAAAACGGGCATCATGCCGCAATTTGCATTTTGGCCGAGTGAAAATGATGGGAATTTCATAAATAATACACCAAGAGGCAGCATTTATTAAACAATAAATGTAATAGTAAGCCTAATAGGGTGAATTGAAGCCACTAATTTGAAAATTTACAAGCTTGAATGAAAGTTATAGAAAAGAGTGAGTTAATCAATTACTTGTAAGAAATTAACTTGGTTAGTAGTAAACATTTAACAGATAGTTTACAGTGTTTATAATAAGAATAAAGTCATAAAACTCTATATGTATATTCATTCCCTAATGACGCTGAATGCGAGGCAATAATTTGTCAAAGTCTTTGTCACTTCACAAAATTGAATAAATTGAGAAAACAGAAGAGTTGCGTTGCGTTGACAGCGTTCAGGCATGAGTTGGCCAAGCAAGTTCGTTGCCTGAGTCTTTTGTTTGCCCCAGGGCTGGGCAGAGGCTGCTGCGACTGCGAATGCGACTGGTCAGCTAAAAAGTGGCATCTATATATAGATTAGAGAGATACGGGACAAGCACGTTGACAACGCAATCTCTGTGCGGCCCTTTAATTATGTTTTATGCCCGCTGCAAGTACCTGAAGCGCGCGTTTGCAACATTATTTCACTTGCCATTTCGGCAGCGTCATGGCTGTTGTGCCTGGTTAGTGACTTGGCAATGTTGCCACACTCCCCATTTTCTGTTTACGGCCTGGCGCTAATTCACTGCTGCTGCTGCTGCCTCTGCAGCCCAATCAGCAAGTGTCGTCGGCGACCTTGCCACAGTCGCAACACTTGCACTTGCCTAATGTCAACCGAGGGGGAGGCTGTGCCTGCTCCAGTTCTCCGCTCCGCCCGAGCTATACCATGTTGACCCACATCTGCACCCAGAGTCAACAGCACCTGGCGAGCAATAACCCCTCCATCGTCCGTCCTCCGTCGTCCGTCCTCCGTCGTCATCCGCAGCTTCACGCTCGGCAAGAGCGGCTTCGAGTCCATCACGTGCTCCGCTGCCGCTGCGGTTGCCGTCTTGAACCTGAGCCGCTATACCACATATAGTTATTTGTACAAGAAATGTTTCGCTGCGGCTTTTTGCTGGGTGTTGCTGTGTTGCTGCTTTGCTATGTTGCTGTGTTGCTGCGTTGCTGTGTTGCTGCGTTGCGGGGTGGAAACAAAAGATTTATTACAATAAAATATTTCTGTCGCCGCGCTGCTGTTTTTCGCTTTTTTGTGTTGCTGTTTTAATTTTTGTTTTGTTAGCTGAAATTTATTTTATTACATTTTTTCAATTTCTTTCTCTCGTCGTCTGTGTGGCTGGCTACGTTTTGTTTTTGGCTTGCGGCTTGTGCAATGTTGCTGCCTCTGTTGCTGCTGTTGCTGCTGCTGCTTCAATAATTAAAACAACAACAATTATGTGCTTCACTCAAATGCGTTAAGTGTCGGTTTGCTGTTGTTTTTCGGCGTTCGTAAATCAGAGTTTAGCATGACACTTGCTCGGTTTGGTTACATAAAGCGGAATGCAATTGAAGTTCCACCAACAGGCTAAAGACTTGTGGTGATATGGCCAAATTGAATTGGAAACCCATTTAGATATGGCCAACACGCAGGGGGAAACAAAAGATTTCCGACAACGGTGTGACAACATTTTGAAAATCTTATGGAAATCAAATCAATTTCCTTTTGTGCCTGACGAAAGCAGCTTGTGGGCGACCTTGGCTCAATTAGCCGCTAATTGTTAGCCACCTCTGAAAGAACCCTAAATGGTTAAAGAGCATTATGTAAATTGGGGAAAAAATCAATTACCGGAAATCAAGGAAATCCCCGAGGCAACATCGGTCCATTGTGCCCATCAACAATAAACTGCATCTGTGAGCTTATCGCCGCTCATCTTTTCCTTCCCTGCCTCAAAACTCATTTGCAAGCGCCACATCAATTGTAGATTTGGCAAAATCTTCGCCAGCCTCGTTAGTTGAGCCACTGGCTGAGATTTCCCAACGGAATGTTAGCTTGAACTCGAACTTTTGGCGGCTTTTCAGTTACCTAATCGGCGCAGCAGCTCCCGGGGCTCGGATGGCAACTGCAACTGCAACTAAAGCAGTTGGCTTCCTCTGCTAACCTTATGCGGGTTTCGCTTTCTGGCACACAGACACACTGAGCGAAGGCGGGGGGAGTCAATTAAAGCAGCATGTTGCAACTTGCAACTTGCCACTTGCCGCCGAACAGGCGACGCGACCGACTGACTTGGAATAGCAGCGATGTTAGATGCCACACAGTGGTTACAGGTGTGAAATTTTCAATAATAATTGGTTTAAGGTGTCCAGAAATTCTCAAGTCAGGCTTCTGGGTCATGGTCCCTTAAATAGATGTTATCAACAGAAGTTTGATCTTAGCAAAACTTTTATTAATAATCAAATGTTGGAAATTAATTGATTTTCTATATAATCCTTGCTATTTAATAATCTGCAGTTCAATCTTGAATTATGTATTCATATGAAATTATTTTAGATCTTGAGTTAGCTAGAAACAATTTACAACATATTTTCTCTCATTATAATATTTAAAGCAATAGATCGAAGGGCTAGACATTAAAAAAGGGACATTTATACGTCTGTTGTAATGCTAAGAATTAGCAAAGACTTGGAAAATAAAGTGACTCGATGCCTAAGAGATCCTCAGACTATTCAGAAAAATACTGCTTTTACTATAATTTTTAAATACACCTTTTCTTTTATACATATTGCAGTCATGTTTCTAGCACAGATTAGACAGCATTGAGACACTGTAATCGAAACATACATGCTGCACTGTGCCTCTGGGCCACTCCGCACTCCCTCCGCTCCCTTTGGCGTGGACAGGCTGAAACTGCATCTGAAACCCAATCTCTGGCTGGGGCAGCTGTACGCGACTGCAACTTGGCAACAGGAAGTGGCAACGTTATTGTTGCCGCTTATCTGCCGCAGAGATGCTTCCTTGAGATTTATTTGGCATCTAGCAGGCGGCCAGCAGAAAATGGCAACAGACAACCCAATACCAATCGTAGCCATCAAATGCAACATCAACATCATCAACATCATCATCATCATCATCGCCATCGCCATTGCAGTTGTTGACTTTGGCTCATGGCCTTTTTGCCAATTCCAGCTGAACGATGACGCCGACTTCTTTGGGTTTTTCGGCACTTATCTAACTTCCGGGTGTCGTGGGTCGAAATCGAATTTTTATGAGTTGCATCTTCACCATAATGGGGCATCGTATCATCCCCAAAAACTACCGCAATTGCTTCATCCACCGGGGGCGATGCTTTGTGTAAACCATAATTAAAAGCATTTAGTTTTTATGTTTATGTTTATTATTTTTCATGGTAGTTTTTATTTTTCTTTATGTCAGCTTTACATGAAATGGTTTCTGTACATCAATTTCTGAGTGTGTGTGGTCCGAGTGCAGATTATAATTATGCTTAAGTACATATTTACAAAGCCATTTTATCGCGGACTGGCCTTGCAACACTTTCCACACCTACATATGTACACACAAAAGTGTCTAAAAAATACCAAAGCTCTGTACAATTTTTGTTTTTTTATTGAATTTCGTATAACTTAAAGACAAAAACGCGCGCATGACTAATTTGTACACTTGGGGAAGCGAGATGGAGTGATAGCGAGAGGGATAGATAGAGAGATGGGAATGGGAGTTCCAGCAGATATCGGACAGTATGAAGTTTTTGTACAAAATGAAGGATAGGAAGGCAGGAGGATGGATGGGGGGACGTAATGCCTTACATCTTTAAATCTATATAACAAATTTCAAAGGGTTCAGTTGTACACAAAGGCGATCTGCGGAAGCTGGGGCAGATTCCCGGATAGGGCAGCGGGATCAGTTATCAGATATCAGTGCTGTCGCCTAGCCGGAGGCTAAGCGCGGACCCGGAATTGGGTCCGTGACCTGGACCTAGTCCCAGCCGTGGCTGTGACCGTGGCTCACTGGCACCCAAACCTTCTCCCAGACGGGCTTCCAGACCTTCTTCCACTCCTGGACTTTCACTTCCTTCCAGACGGGCACATTGACCGACTGCCACTCGTCCTTCCACGCCTGCCTCTTCTCGGTGGCCCACACCTGACGCTTCTCAGTGCGCCAGATCTGAACCTTCTCCTCGATCCAGGTCTCGCGCTTCTCCTTGATCCAGATCTGCTTCTTCACGGTCTTCCACACCTACGAGGAATGCATTGATCAGCGATCGTCCACATTATATCTGTTTTCCAGGAAAAGCTTACCTGAATCCACTCATCCTTCCACTCCAGCTTCTTGTCCTGCTTCCACTCCTGGACCTTCTCCGTCTTCCACTCCTGCTTCTTCTCAGTGCGCCATTCCTGCTTCTTCTCGGTCTTCCACTCCTGCTTCTTCTCGGTGCGCCAGACCTTCTTCCATACGGGTTTCCAGACCAGCTTCTTGCGCCAGAGATCGTGGCTGGTGTACTCCCAGCCCTCGTGATCCTTGCCAAGGAACTTCTCGCCGGGAATGCCCATTTTCACCTGTTTATAGTTTACTCTTAGTTTGTGTGACATCTACAATGTTGCAGGTGTTACTTACCCATTGGGGTTCAAACATTTGCTTCCAGTCTGCCACCTGTACCTCCTTCCAGATGGGCACTTGGATCTCCTTCCAGAAGGGAACTTGAACTTCCTTCCAGATGGGAACTTGGATTTCCTTCCACACGGCCACCTTGGTGGGCACCCAGATAGGCTTCGTGATCTTCTTCCAGTCGGCCACCTTGACCTCCTTCCAGGCGGGTACTTCCCTCTCTTCAATCTTCGGCTTCTTTACGATCTTCCAGTCGGGCACCTGTTCCTCCTTCCAGACGGGAACCTGATGGAAAGGATTGCCGTTAGCCTTGAGCGATCAGTAAGGACTCCTGATGACCGTACCTTAACTTCCTTCCAAATGGGCACCGAGACCTTCTTCCACTTGGTCTCCCATGCCTCTTTCTTAACGGTTTTCCACACCTGCACCCAGTCCTCCTTCCAGGTGAGCTTCTTCTTCCACACTCCCTCGGGGGATGGGCATAGGCCAAGCTAAGGATTAGCGCGCAGCTGGCGCTGAGTAGCTAAGGGGTTAGAGCGAAGTGTGAATATTGATTTCCTGAATTATCTTAAGTTAATTATTATTTTTATTTATTGCATATGCATTTGCAACTGTTACTTAATTTTAAATACAACTTATGTCATGGTAAGCTTAGTTGAGCTCGTTGCCCGACAATATTTCATTATTTAATTATTTGGTAATAAAATATTAATTAAGAAATGTATAAATATTAAAGAGAAGACGAAGGCGGTGTGAAGTCATGTTCGAGGCTTCTTCAGTTCGTTCATTATAAATTTAGGTAATGATTTTTAGCTTTTGAAGTATAATCTGTAGATTTCATATTTTTATGTTTTCGGTTTGTAGTGTAATTATTCCACGATCTGATTTCACTTTTATTTTCAGCACTTGTGTCTTCTTGTCTCTTTGAGTTCCTATGAACAGGTCAGGTGAGCACTTTCTGAGGATTCACTTCCCAGTGCGTCTGGGTGACGCGGACACTAACCAATAGACTTAGGGATCTCATGCTTGGTATCCCTGCTCCACCAACAGCGCGTTAAAACAAAAGGAGCTGATATGTGCCTCCGATGAGGTCTTCTACGAACACTATTCGCATTTCCCTGCATGCACATCTATTTATATTTTGAATGGTCTCGTCTCTGAACCACTGTCGCAGTCGCTGCCTCAGTCGCTGTCTCAGTCTCAGTCACCGTCGCTGTCGCAGCCGCAGCTGACGTCGGCGGAGGCGGCAAAAACAAAAGAAAGCAACAACTGAAACCCCGAGCAGCGGACCCAAGCTTTGGCTCAATCCATGTGCAAAATGCACGCAGCCGAGGCGCGCGTCTCAGTCGGCGTCGCACTGAAAGCAAAAGCAAAAGACGCGGCGGGATGTAAACGAAAACGAAAACCGCAGAGAGTGAGAGTGGAGCGGCGCTCACCTGAGCTACCTCAAGTCGGAGGTGGCTCTTGGACCGCCGATGACTGCGCGGATTTTCCCAAGGTAACGACGCAGCCTCAACAAGACAAGACAGCACAAGACAAGACAAGCAGAGACAATGCGAATGCGTATACGTACTGTGGGCCCGCCATTGGCTCGAGTGCCGTGCGTTGGCTTTGGACCTAGAGTCCGAGTCCGCGTCGCTTCCGAGTCAATGGATCACTTGAGAGTCGTCTTCATGGAATGTTTGGTCAGAAGATGACCCAGAGCCAGAATATAGTCATAATTATGATGTTGTTAGCGGTGATTGGTCAAGTGCAGCAGCATCAACAGTTCCTACGCAAGCGGAAAACTAAGAGGTGTACTTACAGCTAAGTATTTCTTGATAACTGTGGGGAATACACTTGGAGAAATAGGGAGTGTGTATTTTCTTATAATAAATATATGACACCTTGAAAGTGTTTTTTGTTTTGTCATAAGAAATTTATTGTTGAGATTGTGTGTTTATTAAGATTTGATATAAAAAAGAAGCTATATTGCTCAATTTTTTGACTTTACCACTCTTAAAATCAATGTGGATTCAACAAAGATCGATATAACAACAAAATAAATAACAAACAACAATAACAATAACAATAAATAAATAACGAATTGTAGATCGTACTCATGTACACATATCTGTTCTTACTCACAAATGGAATCGAACATTTTTTATTTTGAGAAAATAATTAACAAAACTTCTTACATATGAACTCTAAACTTTATGGTAGTTGTGCATATTTTTATTACTGAGTAATTAATTGCAATCCCAATGGGATTAATGAGGTAATAGTAAGTTGTAGTTTCTCCATAAAATAAAGTTCTGATAGAGATTTAAGAATAAAACAATACTTACAATCCTACATTCAAAATGTTACCTTAGACCGGCAGTTTTTAGATTCTGTAGACACTTTTGAAATAATAAATATGTACATATATTCATTTCTTTATTTTATGATAATAAATCCACACTTTGTATACTTCTATATAAACCGAATACCTCAAGGTCGACCATCTTATTACATGCTTATTAATCTTCATTTACACAATAATAATAATTAAACTGAAAATAGAGTTCAATAAAGGAGTTGCATGTTGCTTTCATAAATTCAAGGTTTTTGAGATTAAAAACATCTTTACAGGTAACTAAACGATTGTATTTCCTCCAAAAACTGTTATATTTAATCCAAATTACTACAAGAGGTCCCAATCAATCTGCACCAAACTCAATACTCACCATTAATCATCGTCGGCAAAGATCACGCTAAACATCCTCTAATAAGGTAGTAAGTTAACCTCATCCCGAGGAGAACGATCAATCATTTCGCGCTGTGCAAAGTGGTTCACCTCAGCTATCGATAAGGTCAATTGCTGTGGGCGTGGAGCGCCTTCCTCCGCCGCAGTGGGCCACTCCGCTAAGTAGTCTTAAGCTGTAGCCCCCGACTACGTGCCCGCGTTTTATATGGCACTATTAACCATGTCCGACTCTGCGCTTCGAACTTGAGCGCTGGCAATTAGCACAGGCGGGTTCAGTCCAGTCCAGTTGCGTGCGAAATGATCACAGCGGATCGGCAAAGGAGGAGCAATCCGACTCCGCGGACAACAGCAAATGCCATTTATGGACGGGTCGACCTAAGCGCTCAAATGGCAAAGCGACCTCAGCGGACGGACGGACGGACGGACGGACGGACGGACGGACGGACGGACGGACGGACAGCGCAGCATGAAGATTTTAAGCGCCACCTACACAGAGAGAAATACATATAATATTTTCTTTCAATTTTTATAAATTTTAAATAATTAAGTAAACCGAGATATAGAAATGGTTTCAATAAGTAAATGAAATGGAATTTCTTTATTTTTTTCATGTTTGTTTAAAAATATTTTTATTTTGCAATATTTATTATAAAGTTGTGTGAAATATTATTTAAAAAAATTGTATACTACTTTTAGTATATTGCATACGGTATATTTATCAAACTGTCCTGAATAATTTATACTTAAGATACTTAAGATACATAAGATATGAGAAAGAGCACTATGAGAATACAGCTTACATTTTTTATTATATTGCATTTCTACAAGCTGTCACTTATCATTTTTATATAACTATAAAAAATATATATATTATATTTAACTGTTTTGGTAAATTATTTAGATTCTGTACATGTCCGGGCTGAGATATTAGCTAAATACATTACAAATTTCTGATATATTTCCTACCTTTGCAGAAATAAAAGAATGTAATTTTGTTAACGGATGTTATATTTTATTATTTTAAGGGGCTTTGTTTATTTTCTATATTTAACATAAAGTTACTTTTAACAAATTTTGTGCGGTATTTACTATCTATCCATCCAGTTAGCTTGTTATATATTGAATTTAAATCAAGAAAAATGTAGTAGTATATTGTATTAACATTTCAAAAACTATTTCTTCAACACCATAATTTTAACATCATATTATTTTTTTCGGAATAAATAATATTTCTAATACATTTTTCTCCCAGTGTAAGGCTGTTAATCCGCATCAGTGACTACCGGGGCCGAGTGCAACTTTTAGCATGGTTGTAAGGCGCGCGCTTTATGGACGTTCAAATAATTTGGCCATTAGGCTTTGATAAATGCGTCAAGACCAAGCAGTTGGCAACAATTAACACCCGAGATGCGGGCCAAGTCAGAGGTAAGGTTTTGTGGTTTGGGGGGGAAATGGTCACAGAGCGTAAAGAGCACCCTGACGAGCTGACTTTTCGACTGACCCTTCGCCTGATCCGACGCACCGTAAATAATATGCACAAATTGAAAACGACTGAGGTTACATCACAGGCCCAGGAGGAGCAGCCAGACGAAGGCAAGGCGGAGGAGGAGCAGACGGCCTTCAGTGCAGGCACTGCAAAAGGAAAAGCAGACCAAGAGGCCTCCGACATGTTAAGCCAATTTACCCAAAAAACCAAAACTCGAAATTAGGTAAAAAAACACGAATGTAATGAAGAATGTGCAACAGGCTCGCCTGCGACTGCGACTGCGTCTGCAACTTCGACTCGAACTCGGGTTTTATTTAGCCAGTTTTGGCTTTTTGTTGTGCAAAATGAAATTGAAATTCCTGAAACGTGCCCAGCAGATCGGGTTTGGCTTTGGCCGAAGATGTCGTGGCTGTGGACGGAGAGCAGGATGGCTTGGTGGATCGGTGGATCGGTGGATCGATGGCTGCGGGCTCTGGAAACACCTTTCGCCACGCCGTGGCTGTCTTGTCCCTGCTCACCCAGTTGCATAATTTACGGCATCTCTTTATTGATCTGGACTTTTATATGTAGGTTATGCATTGCCTTATATTACGAGTATGACACGATCGGCAGGCAGACAGGTTTCCGCTGCAGTTCAATTCAGTTCCCGGCTAGGAAGCGTGTGAAATTGCCTGGAAAGCGTCTTAGACTGAGCGTTTAGCTGCTGTGGAGACGGAAATGGAAGTTCAAAGAGAAAGGTTCGATGGGTCTTGACATTTCGGGGAAATGTTTTTGGCAGTTTGTTCAATTAATCCCTTAATGGCCATGTTTAAGTTGGTGATCGAGTAATAAATAAGAGTGGGAATCGGGGAAAAGGCATCTATTAATAATAATCTGTCAAACAGGAAATAATTAACTTTCATACGCTATTTATAGATAGTTTTATTGCTCTACCTTCGGCCGAGAAGATCTGTTTATAAATAGGGTACGTACTATTTTAATTTAAGACTAACATCGTAATGATTATAGCTCTTTAAAGCATCAAATCTGCCATCTATACATACAAAGTATATTGTATAAATAAATATATATAAAAATACATTGGTTTAATAATATTTCTTAATCATTTAAAGTGAATTTATCGAAATCAAAAATATATTATCTAGTTGTATTTGGAAAGTGCATTATTTTTCTTTTAAAGCTAGTTTAATATATTTTTCTCCAACGTTTAAATAAATTCGAGATCTAAAAGTAGTTACGATATTTTTTTAATATCTGAGGAAAACAGGTAGAGGTTTTTATGTACATTTTATGTTCCGTCTTGCAAAATGTGAAATGGTTAATAACTTTGACAGTTTACAGATTTTGTTACTTATTGAATTATTGTATCATCAGATAGAGAGTATAGATAAATCTACCTTAGCTTTCCTTCTATTCTAGAGCAGCTTTTCTCTCAAGATGTTTCATCATTTTAAGAGAATAGTGGCATTATGATTATTATTCCTTGATTTTTAAAATGCAATCGTATATTATTCACGGTTCCTGCTACATATTAAAGTTTAACGACTTGAGTTCCATTCTTTGTTGGACTTTTATTGCAATTCTTGGCAATCAAGTGCACTTCCCATCCCTTGGCCACGTTCATACTTGCAGTCAACTTTATTGCACATTCGCCTCATTGAGTGGAACGCTGTTGCAATGCGACTGGCAACTAGAAATAGCAGGCACTTATCTCCTGAACAATAAGCCATAACAAAACACTCACGTTCACACATGGTTAACCTTCAATCAGGCCTAATCCAACTACAGGAGAGCGAAGAGGAGTGGCCTCCATGGCGGTCTGCAACGTCAT